AATACATATCATTCGCTATTAAGAGTTTACTACGAATATCGTAAGAGAAACCATAACCTACCTCCACCGAAGACTTGTGATCAAGCAAGAATTTCCCAAAGCCTTGTGTTTTTCTTTCTTCCTCATTCGATTCTCCCTCTCTCTCTTGCTCTTTCTATTTTTCTTTATTCAAACCTTCTTTCTTTTACCCTAATTAGTATATAATTAAGAATAAAAGATGGAAATAATAACCCACTAATTAACTTAAGGTTACCTCTTTTATCCCCCAAGAAATTGAGTTATTAATATAAACCCACGAAATATATAATTATAGCAGGAATAGTCCAAAACGCCCCTTTAAAACATGTAAAGAAATCCGACCTAGACTGGAATTACGCAACCTGCGACGGCCCGTCGTGCCTGCGACGGTCCGTCCTGCAGGTCATCGCAAGGTTCAGAGAATGGATTTTCACTGAAGGCTCTCTGACAGTCCGTCACGCCTGTGACGGTCCGTCCTGCCATCTTGTCACGAAGTTCAGAGAGTCGATTTTCAGTACCCAATTTCAGATTTTCTAAGTGTTTTTAAACGAGACCCTGCGACGGTCCGTCGTGCCCATGACGGTCCATCGTGGGGTCCGTCACTTCTGCCAGTTTTTCCAGAATTGAAGTCTGCTGCTCAAAACGACTAAACAGGTCGTTACAATTTTCTTAGGTGATATTGAACCAGATTCAGACTTCACAGCTAAAGATTTTTGTTTGCAAGCTATCGTCTATATAGAAAAAATACTGAAGACTCAACATGTTCCAATAATTGTTGTTGGGTCAAATTCGTATATTGAAAAACTTGTGGAAGATCTTGTGTTCATGTTCAAATAGAAGTATGATAGTTTCTTTTTTTTGGATTAATGATGAGCAATCAGTCTTGAACCGTAGAGTTGACATGAGGGTTGATCAAATGGTAAAAGTAGGTAATTTTGGTAATTATTTTATGTATCAATCAAGATATACTATGATGTAGCTATCTAAAAACTTTTCCTATACAATTTTCTGAATAATACTTTTGGTTATCAAATATATGTTCTTCTAAATAAAACTCTTCTTTAAATTTGTGTTGCATGCAGGGCTAGTGGATGAGGTGCGACAGATTTTCATTCCAGATGCAGATTACACCAAAGGAATCCGACGGTCCATCGGTGTCCCTGAAATGGGAAGATATTTAAGGGAAGAAACAAATATAGACGGAGATGATGAATCAAAGCAGATGATTCTTCAAGCTTCAATTTCAAGTATCCAGCGAAATACTCGTATGTTAATTTGTAAACAACTTGACAAGATTATACGATTAATAAGCGAGAAAATGTGGTCAGTGCATCATAATATTGCTACGGACGTTTTCAAAGAAGATAGAGAAGAAGATCTTGACGAAGAATGGACGAATACTGTTTTGCAACCATGCCAAGATATTGTGAAGAGATTCTCAAAAATAATCATCATAATATTATTATTGATTGTACATAAACTGTCATTATCGCCATCTTCTATTTTGGTCTCTTTTATTTTTCACCTATTTTGTACAGTTTGTATCGCATTACAAATATATATGTATGATATGACACTTATTTCTATATATGTTACTCTTGTCATTAAAAGAATTCCTATCTATAAATGAAATATTTATTTTATGTTTCGATCCAAGTCCAAGTCCAGGCCTTCTATATATAATATATATTAATACAAATACGTACGTACACAATTACATGAGATCACTCATAATGTCAAGCTAATAGAGTGATAAAATAATAAATCACCATAAATGTTCGGGAAGATTCCACTCTAAAAGGATTTTGAAGAATAGAATTCTTAACTCAATACTTAAAAATGTTATATAGAAAGAAAATAACATAGTAAATTTATAATCTATCGGTAATGAATATATTCTACCTAATTCTATCACGGTGATTGAAGCTTGATTCAATGAAGTCCTTATCTATTATTATATGGTGCACAAGTTAATATAAATACTCGTAATTGAAATAGTTATCGATAATTGTTCACTTCCCTCATATGGAATTAGACTTAACACTTATGATGTGCTGATGAATCGTGTATGATTTGGCTCATTATCACTTGAATATATTCCGTCATAAATATTATTGAGTTCTTTGTACAATCCTTTTGTAACTACTTGTGATCTCATAACAAATATACATCTAGAAACGTCATCCTAAAATAATTCAAGCTTAATCGCCAAAATTTAAGGTGACATATCTCTAAAAATTTTAATAAACTATTCTTATTCTAAAAGATATGAATTTATATATCTTTAATTTTGTTTACTAATTTATAAGTCTATAAAAATCAAATTATTACCATAAAAGCCCAGCTCTATGTGATCTCCTAACAACGTACACTAATAACTTTATCCTAAAATATATTTAATTTTAATTACAAAAATTCAAGTTGATATATCTATAAAATTTCAAAAAGTCATTCTTATCCTAAATATATCAGTAATTATGAAATTGATATGTCAATTAATAAGTCCACAAAAAGATTTTACTATAAAAGCTGATGTAATTTATTTTTTTTTGACATCCACCATCAAGAAAATTTTATATTTTTAGTTAGTATATTCCAAGTCAAGCAAGGTTTCTACTTACTAGCTTTATATTTACAAGTTTTTTTAATTTCTTACTATGAATTCACAATTCTAAACTAATTATTATTTTTTTTTGTAGAAAAAATGTCTACTTTCATCAACAATGAAGAGTCCAACAAGAAGAAAGTGATCTTCATAATGGGGGCCACAGGAACGGGAAAATCTCGTATCTCTGTTAACCTTGCCACCCATTTTCGAGGAGAAATAATCAACTCGGATAAAATGCAAGTTTACAAGGGACTTGAAATTGTTACAAACAAGATCACTCACACTGAGAAACAAGGTGTACGACACTATTTGTTAGGTATATATGTTTATTCTCAAGAATAATACTTATATCAAATGACTACCTTGATAATTTTATAGTAGTAATTATAGATTCTAGTGAAAAATATACTTTACTATTAAAAATTTATTTCTTTCAATTCTGAGAAAGTTAATTTGATCACATTTTCTTAGGTGAAATTGAACCAGATTCAGACTTCACAGCTGAAGATTTTTGTTTGCAAGCTATCGTCCATATAGAAAAAATACGGAAGACTCAACGTGTTCCAATTATTGTTGGAGGGTCAAATTCGTATATTGAAAAACTTGTGGAAGATCCTGTGTTCAAGTTCAAATATAAGTATGATTGTTGCTTTATTTGGATTGATGTTGAGCAATCAGTCTTGAACTGTAGAGTTCACATGAGAGTTGATCAAATGGTCAAAGCTGGTATTTTGGTAATTATATTATGTATCAATCAAGATATACTATGATGTAGCTATCTAAAAACTTTTCTTATATAATTTTCTTAATAAAAGTTTTGGTTATCAAATATATGTTCTTCCAAATAAAACTCTTCTTTAAATTTGTTTTGCATGCAGGACTAGTGGATGAGGTGAGACAAATTTTCATTCCAGATGCAGATTACACCAAAGGAATCCGACGGTCCATCGGTGTCCCTGAAATGGACAGATATTAAAGAGAAGAAACAAATTTAGACAGAGATGATGAATAAAACCAGATGATTCTTCAAGCTTCAATTTCAAGTATAAAGCGAAATACTCGTATGTTAATTTGTAACCAACTTGACAAGATTCAACGATTAATAAGTGAGAAAATGTGGTCAGGGCATCATATTATTGCTACGAACGTTTTCAAAGAAGATAGAGAAGAAAATCTCGACGAAGCATGGACGAATACTGTTTTGCAACCATGCCAAGATATTGTGAAGAGATTTCTCAAAAATTATCATCACAATATTATTATTGATTGTACAAAACTCATTATCGTCATCTTCTATTTTGGTCTCTTTTATTTTTCACCAATTTTGTACAGTTTGTATCGCATTACAAATATATATGTATGATATGACCCTTATTTCTATATATGTTACTCTTGTCTGTAAAAAAATTCTTATCTATAGATGAAATATTTATTTTATGTTTCGATCCAAGTCCAAGTCCAAGCCTTCTATATTTAATATATATTAATACAAATACGTACGTACACAATTACATGAGATCACTCATAATGTCAAGCTAATAGAGTGATAAAATAATAAATCATCATAAATGTTCGGGAAGATTCCACTCTAAAAGGATTTTGAAGAATAGAATTCTTAACTCAATACTTAAAAATGTTACATAGACAAAGAAGATAACATAGTAAATTTATAATCTATCGGTAATGAATATATTCTACCTAATTCTATCACGCTGATTGAAGCTTGATTCAATAAAGTTCTTATATATTATTATATGGTGCACAAGTTAATTTAAATACTCGTAATTGAAATAGTTATCGATAATTGTTCACTTCCCTCATATGGAATTAGACTTAACACTTATGATGTGCTGATAAATAGTGTAAGATTTGACTCATTATCACTTGAATATATTCCGTCATAAATATTATTGAGTTCTTTGTACAATCCTTTTGTTACTACTTGTGATCTCATAACAATATACATCTAGAAACGTCATCCTAAAATAATTTAAGCTTAATCGCTAAAATTTAAGGTGACATATCTCTAAATTTTTTAATGAACTATTCCTATTCTAAAACATATGAATTTATATATATTTAATTTGGTTTACTAATTCATAAGTCTATAAAAATCAAATTATTACTATAAAAGCCCAGCTCTAAGTGATCTCCTAACAAAGTACACTAATAACTTTATCCTAAATTATATTTAATTTTAATTACCAAAATTCAAGTTGATATATCTATAAAAATTTAAAAAGTCATTCCTATCCTAAAATATATCAGAAATTATGAAATTGGTATGCCAATTTAAAAGTCCACAAAAAGATTTTACTGTAAAAGCTGAATGTAATTTATTTATTTTTTTGACATCCACCATCAAGAAAATTTTATATTTTTAGATAGTATATTTCAATTCAAGCAAGGTTTCTACTTACTAGCTTTATATTTACAAGATTTTTTATTTTCTGACTATGAATTCACTATTCTAAACTAATTATTATTATTTTTTTGTAGAAAAAATGTCTACTTTCATTAACAATGAAGAGTCCAACTAGAAGAAAGTGATCTTTATAATGGGGGCCACAGGAACGGGAAAATCTCGTCTCTGTGTTGACCTTTCCACCTATTTTCGAGGAGAAATAATCAACTCGGATAAAATGCAAGTTTACAAGGGACTTGAAATTGTTACAAACAAGATCAATCACACTGAAAAACAAGGTGTACGACACTATTTGTTAGGTATATATGTTTATTCTCAAGAATACTTATATCAAATGACTACCTTGATAATTTTATAGTAGTAATTATAGATTCTAGTGAAAAATATACTTTACTATTAAAAATTAATTTCTTTTAATTCTGAGAAAGTTAATTTGATCACATTTTCATAGGTAAAATTAAACCAGATTCAGACTTCACAGCTGAAGATTTTTGTTTGCAATCTATCGTCTATATAGAAAAAATAATGAAGACTCAACATGTTCCAATTATTGTTGGAGGGTCAAATTCGTATATTGAAAAACATGTGGAAGATCCTGTGTTCATGTTCAATTATAAGTATGATTGTTGCTTTATTTGTATTGATGTTGAGCGATCGGTCTTGAACCGTAGAGTTGACATGAGGGTTGATCAAATGGTCAAAGCAGGTATTTTGGTAATTATTTTATGTATCAATCAAGATATACTATGATGTAGCTATCTAAAAACTTTTCTTATATAATTTTCTTAATAATATTTTTGGTTATCAAATATATGTTCTTCTAAATAAAACTCTTCTTTAAATTTGTGATACATGCAGGACTAGTGGATGAGGTGCGACAAATTTTCATTCCAGATGCAGATTACACCAAAGGAATCCGACGGTCCATCGGTGTCCCTTAAATGGACAGATATTTAAGGGAAGAAACAAATTTAGACGGAGATGATGAATCAAATCAGATGATTCTTCAAGCTTCAATTTCAAGTATCAAGCAAAATACTCGTATGTTAATTGGTAACCAACTTGACAAGATTCAACGATTAATAAGAGAGAAAATGTGGTCGGTGCATCATATTATTGCTACAAACGTTTTCAAAGAAGATAGAGAAGAAGATCTCGACGAAGCATGGACGAATACTGTTTTGCAACCTTGCCAAGATATTGTGAAGAGATTTCTCAAAAATGATCATCACAATATTATTATTGATTGTACATAAACTCATTATCTCCATCGTCTATTTTGGTCTCTTTTATTTTTCACCAATTTTGTACAGTTTGTATCGCATTACAAATATATATGTATGATATGACCCTTATTTCTATATATGTTACTCTTGTCTGTAAAAAAATTCTTATCTATAGATGAAATATTTATTTTATTTTTCGATCCTGTAATGACCTGTTTAGTCATTTTGAGCAGCAGATTTTAATTCTTGAAAAGCTGTCTAGGTCGACGGACCCCATGACGAACCGTCGTAGGCACGACGGACCGTCAAGGGTGTCATGTTCCAAAATACTTAGAATTCTTAAAATTGGGTACTGAAATCGACTCTCTGAACTTCGTGACGAAGTGACAGGACGTACCGTCATAGGCATGATGGGCCGTCACAGACTTTTCAGTAAATTTCAGTCTCTGAACTCTGTGACGGAAGCAGCAGGACGGACCGTCGCAGGCACGACGGCCCGTCACAGACTGCGTAATCTCAGGCTGAGTCGAATTTCTTTAAATGTTTAAATGAGGAGTTTTGGACTATTCCTGCTATAATTATAAATTTAGTGGGTTAATGTTAATAATTTAACTACTTGAGGGTTAAAAGAGATAACCTTGAATTAATTAATGGGTCAAATTCATTGTCTTTCATACTTAATTATATGCTAACTAGGGTAAAAAAAAAGAGGGTTTGAATAAGAAAAAGAAAAGAACAGGAAGAGAGGGAGAAACGATCGAGAGAGAGAGGAAGGAAGAGGAAAGCAAAGATCTTGAGGAAATTGCTTGCTTAATCACGACTCTTCGGTGGAGGTAGGTTATGGTTTTTATATTATTCGTAGTTAACTCTTAATAGCGAATGATATGTGTTGGGTTGTATTGTAAAGTCTTCTATATGCTTAATTGTATGATTGCATGAATGTGATTATATAATTGTAATGAAATTATTGACTCCCAAATCTTGAAAACCCCTTATTATCGATGATGCCTTGGTATAAAAGAAGGCTTGATGAACTAAAGTAATGAGATTAGTGGATCGGGTGTCACGAAATGACACGTAAAATTAGGGGATTGGGTGTCACGAACTGACACGTAGAATTAGGGGATCGGGTGTCACGAACCGACGCGTAGAATTAGGGGTCGGGTGTCACGAACCGACACATAGAATTAGGGGATCGGGTGTAACGAATCGACACGTAGAATTAGTGGATCAGGTGTCACGAACCGACACGTAGAATTAGGGGATCGGGTGTCACGAACCGACACGTAGAACTAGGGGATCGGAGTGTCACGTTCCGACACATAGTAGTAGGGGAGCGGAGTGTCACGTACCGACACAAGAATAAAGGTGATGAATCTTGAAAGATGTTAAAATACTTAATCTAATGAACCTAATTCCCAAATGAGTATGGTATTGAGGCTTGAGTCCTCATGTGTGAACTTGGCGGTACTTATTAACAATTATAGTACTTGTTGTTGCTACATGTTGAGTAATGTAGTTGATTTTATATTATTACTTGATATATATTGTTTTCTATTTTGAGTTGGCCGATGATATCTACTCAGTACTTGTGGTTGTACTGACCCCTACTTGTAATTGTTTTTCTTTGTTATTTGTGGAGTGCAGCAAACATACCGTCATCTTCAACTCAACCGCAACTCTAGCCAGTCTTCATTACACCGGATTTCAGGGTGAGCTAATGCTTCTAGCTTGGACTGGATCTTCCTCTTCATATCTTGATGCCTTGAAGTTCCGGCATAGACTAGCTTTTTATTTATGTTTAGTTTCTTAGATACTCCTAGTGTTAGTAATTAGAGGATAGATGTTCTTGTGATGATGACTTCCAGATTTTGGGGATAATAATAGTTATCAAGTTTTTATAAGTTATTTAATTGATTTTCATTAATGAGTTGAAGTCTTCCGCATTATATTGTGTTATTATATTCGAAATGTTGGGTTTTGTATTGATTGGTTCGCTCACATAGGAGGGTAAGTGTGGGTGCCACTCCCGGCCCGTTTTGGGTCGTGACAAACTTGGTATCACAGCTTTAGGTTCGTTGGTCTCATCATACAAGAACGAGTCTAGTAGAGTCTTAAGGAACGGTAGGGGAACGCCTTTACTTTCTTTGAGATGCTATAAGACTTTAGGAAAATTCCATTCTTTCTTTCTTTCTTTCGTGCTATTACTTTGATCCAATTGGTATCTAGGTGATACAAATTGGTATATGACCATCTTCACTCTATTTCGCAGATGGTTAGAACTAGAGCAACAACCGCGCCAACATTAACATCGGTAAGACAAGATGCATCTGAGCCAGCCACTGAGACTGTAGCTCAAAGAGGAGCAGTAGCAAGAGGCCGCGGTAGAGTTCACGAGAGGACGTCCTCTAGAGGAAGAGGACGAACGCCTGGCCCATCTGGTACTAGGGCGGTGACTCCTCCACCGACTAAGGAAGTAGTAAGAGAAGGGGAGGATGGGGAAAATGAACAAGTACAGAATGAGGAATTACCACCCCAACCTACCCCAGAGATGATCAATCAGGTTCTTGCTTATCTTAGCGGGTTATCTGATCAAGGCCAAGTGCCTCCAGTGTTTTCTACACCAGCACCTCAGGCTCCGGAGGTACAACATGCGGCTACTGTGGCTCCCCGCATGGATGCCTCATTGGAAATAGGAACATTTCCTCGTCTTACTACAGGACCTATAATGACAAATGACCAGCATGAACTTTTCAGTAAGTTCTTGAAATTGAAACCTCCAGTCTTCAAGGGTGCTGAATCTGAGGATGCCTACGATTTTCTGGTTGACTGTCATGAGCTACTACACAAGATGGGTATAGTAGAAGGG